TAGGAATGGGCCCTCAAACCCCGGCAGAGATTCACGCTCATTGTTTTTATTGTTGAGTTAAATTCATCCTCTTTGTTTAGCGTTCAACATCTCTCCCTTTCTGTTTACTCGTCTTTAGATTTGTTTCCTCCGTGCTCCCTCATGGCGAAAGGCGTCCCTCGGTGAGCTCCTGTGTGCTTGCAAATTTTTTCCATTTGCATGTGCAGATGAACAAAAATCCGGCCATCTAAAATGGACACACTTAGAATACAAAACACATGCAGCTTTTGTCAGCTGTTAACTCTCTCTCTCTCTCTCTCTCTCTCTCTCTCTCTCTGGGGCTGAGCAGCAGAGGACGAGGAGTCGGAGCAGCTCTGAAGGAGAGGGGTGGTGCAGGATGAATGAATGAAAGGTATGCCGCCTGGGCTGTCGGAGTAGTTGGGGCGGATGAGCTACCGTCCATTTTTTTTTTTTTTTTTTACAGCCCCTTCTTAACTGACATCCACATTGTTGTCCCTTTTGTTACATCACCTTTAACCCTCTTTCTTGTCTTTAATCAGTCTTTAGATGCCGTGGCGGAAAACTAATTACATTTACTCAAGTACAGCTTTGAGGTAACAGTATTTCCATTTTCTGATAAAAAAAAAAAACAATTCAGAGGGAAATGTTGTGCTTTCTACTCCACTACACTGATTTGATAACTTTATTTAGTTTGCGGATTCAGATTAAAGGTGCAAAATATAATCAAAACATAATGTATTATTAGAGATAAACTAACATTAACATTAACCAATTAACATTAATTAACATTAGCTTCACCTTTACCAGCTGCAGCAATACAGTTATGTACAAATGAATGCATCAAATATTATAATCAATAGGCCAATATACTGTAGTCTAAATGAGCCACTGAATGCACTTGGATGCTAACACTGTTGTACTTTTACTCAAGTGATTTAAGGCCTAACCCTAACCCCGTAACAGGGTATTTCTGTAGTATTGCTACTTTTACTTCTTCCATCACTGTCTGCATGAATGTTTTGCTTGCAGAGACGTCTGTAAGCGAGAGGAAAGCTTCAAACATCAGTGTGTTACTTATCTTTCTGTAAACAGATTCAAGTCAGTTAAAAGAGAGATACAGCTGCAGAGAGACAGATGAGAGACAACAGGAACAGGGGGAGGAAAGTGTAGTGTTTACACCGGTGCAACCTGATCGACAGCTTCATCTCGTCTCAGGTCTCTTCCAACATTACTGTTATTTCTTTCTCTTTCTCCCTCTCTCCATGTATTCCTGTTAAAGGAACACAGATTTTTTTTGACGCAAATAATTCCATAATATCAGGAGACCTTTATGTCATGGCTGCTTAGCACAAAAAGCAGTTTGCCTGCTGTCAGTTTAACCCGTAGTTAGGTCATTTTCACCAGTGAGAGTTAACCGGTAATAAAGCTCAAAGTGCCGTTGCTATGGTCATCGGTAGTTTATTACACCTTGCACAGTGATTTAGAACAGCTGACCTGAACTGATCAAACTGTGTTTTAAGTGTGGGATTTGTAAATGTGTCACTTTGGCGGCTCCTAGTGGTGGTATTAAAAAAAAGACACAATGCACACTGTTCCCGCTTAAAAAACAAACACAATGTCCCAAACGGACGCGTACGGTGACATCTGAGGATAATACAGCCGTGTCATTCTGTTTCTGTCCACTTGGAGGACGTGTTCCACACATGAGCAGTAGATCAGCGTCTACAGCAAGACGGGCCCACCAGGGGGCGCCGCTCCATTCACTGTCCTCCCTGACTTTTATTATATATATATATAGCATGTTTTCTCATGACAATGGAAATACATTGTAAAGCTAGAATGCTGTTACGTAACGTTTCACAAGTTTAAAAGTAAAACAGAATAGACAGACATAGCGGGTCTGTGGGGCTGTATAAGCTCAGTGGTTCTTTGAGCTAATGCTAACATCATGATAACTCAAAATGACCACCTTACTTTAGCAGGCTGACAAAGCAAAAAACAAAGCAGGCAAGTACAGCTAAGGCTGATGGTGAATGTAATTAGTTTTGCAGGTGTCATAAATCAGACGGATCAGACATTTTGATCTGATGATGGTGCGAGATGACCAGATAACACGACAGCTCAGAATGAGTCATTTCTAAGCACCTCTAATTACACTAAGAGTCAACTGGAGTACGGGTAAAAAAAATTCTTTATTCTGTTTTGTGACTTTCGATTCTCTGGAATTCTCTTTCGACGTCACGCTAATAGGATCGGTCTGCATACTTCATTTTTAATAGGCTTTGTTTTCACAGCAATGGGTGGGAACGCTGGTCAGGTAGCATACCTGTGTGTGTGTGTGTGTGTGTGTGTGTGTGTGTGTGTGTGTGCGCGCGCAATAATCCAGTAGACGCTATCTACAAAGCCAGATTGTGAGCTGATGAGTAGTAGTGTGTGTTTGTTGTTGCACATTTGGGTGAAGCGTTTGATTGACGGATACGAGCTGAAAAAGTGTCGACGAGCTGATGAAAACTGAGGAAACAGACACGAGATAAACTGTAAGAAAGAACCAGAAGACAAGACCTTTTAAAGCTACAAGGCAGAGTATGTCAGTCAGGTACTGCAGTGGGAATGTCAGCACACAGACTCAGTATCCAATTAAGTAACAATTCAGTAGTTGCCACTATTACAGGTGTGTCCTGTAAAGCTGCATGCACTGATTCATTCTGGCCACTTGGGGCAACAGAAACAAGCTATAAAAACAGTATGTTGAACTTTGTCTGTTGTTTGGTGCTGAGCTGTTATTGTGCAGCGTTGCTAATAGGAGCAGCAAGAGTGAACCATAAAACCAAAACAATGAGCCCAAAGACACTAAAAGTTTAAAGTTTCACGTCCTTTATTTGTCACATAACAACTGCAGTTCATTGGTCATTGGCAATAAAAGAAAATCACACAAGTAAAAATGAGAATCTGAGACATAAACTAGTGCAGTATATGCAATATATGTAAAGTTACATATAATACAATAAAATAAACTTTACTATTGTGGCAGTTGTAGAGTAATGATAACCCTCATTCTTTTAACTGGAGCACCTGCAGACCCCACAGGTTTCTGTCATATCTCACAGATACTTTATTCTATTACCAGTATAACATTTTATTTTATATTCAAATTTAATGAAACCCCAGTCAAAAGCACCTAATTCCACTTGTGCAGTTTCAATACAGGGAACTACTTTTTTAGTTCATGTTTGCCGTGGTTCCTAATATAAAGTATCATACGCTATCAGGGTGGGAAGAGACGACACACAAACAACCTCATGTGCTCTCATGTAAACAATTTGCAAATTAACTGTAATGTTCCTCAAATAATAACAATTCATAAATGACATTCATTGCATAACTAATAATGTTATGAGAGGACATAAGTTCTGCTATGATGGTTGGATGGTGTTGGTTAAAATGTAATGTAGAAAGGTTATGGACAGTATGCAAGGAGTTATAAATAAACTGAAATAAACAAGTAACCAAAGGTAAAGTGATGTCTGTATCAATAAGGTGTGAGTATGTGTCAGAGCTCATCCCGAATCCGTGTTCCTACTCTAAAGGTCAACTGATCTCTGGCAAAACAAGGCTGAGAGGACAATGGAGGACTTTTATTTTGAAACATATGACAACATTAGTACAGGTGATACAGGGAGGATACTCTGAAATAAAGTTCATTTTAATGCAATATCTCAAACAGAAACTCTATGAGCTCACAGTCAATTGTCAAGATCAATTTAAGTCTTGATAATCTTTTGTATATGGAGAGCAGATTTTCCCTATTTAATATAATTATGAAGAATCGCATCTCAGTCCAGACACACAGAGCAACTTGATACAGCAACTTCTTTATCCAAAGTGACTCCAGTTTGCTGTAATAGATTTTATTTAATAAAGAACACATCACATTAAGCACAAATTGTAAGAAGATAATAAGAAACAAACTTAGCTATAAGTGTGTCAGTATGTCAGTAGTAAATCTCTGATTCACTTTTTCAAAATATGGTATTTCTCCACCCATCACCCCTCCAGGCCGTTGTAAGAAACAGTTAATATTAATGTCCAAAAGGTGGCGCCGTTGATCAACTAAGGACATACAGTATACAGTGTGTAGTACAGTAGGTGAACAGTGATTGCACTGTAACTATCTTTTTAAGAACCTATTCAATAATTACATAGGACAATAGTAATATAACAGAACCAATGGGGTAACAGTCTTGATATTGATATTAATATAGATAGATAGATGGCAAAATATATGGAATAATGACATCAAGGGTAGGGACTATTATACAAATCAAAAATCAGTTAGAGTAAGAAGTAGGAAGTAGAAAAGAAGATCAGAATCAGAAATACTAAATTTGTCCGTTACAGTTGTTCCACTCACACAACGTTAAAGAAATAGTACTTATATACAATATCTAACACAATATATACAATAGAAATGAATGTATAGGTATATACATATAGTATATAGATATAGTAGTAAAACATAGAAATAAAATAAGAGCCTAAGATATAATAAAATAAAATAATAAGAGTCTAATATATATCAATAAAATAAAATAATCTTAGCCTAAGAGATATAATAAAATAATAAAAGCCTAAGAGATATAATAACATAAAATAATAAGAGTCTAATATATATCAATAAAATATAATAATAATAATAGCCTAAGAGATATAATAAAATAATAATAGCATAAGATATATAATAAAATAAAATAACATAATAAGAGCCTAAAAGATATAATATAATAATAAGAGCCTGAATGTAGATATAATTATTATATTATACATAATGAAAAAGATTCTGATAAGTGTGAAACATACAATTGTAAAGAGAGAGTCAAACAGGTTTAATATACAGAATATGATAACTCCAATAAAGTCATTATTTTACACACTCCGACACAGTAGGTGGCAGTAATGGCGCCTTTAACGTTGGTTTGTAGTCCGCCACCAAATTAAAAGGAGAAGCAGCCGCAGCCACAGCCACTGCGCCTGGCTGTCCTCCTGTGTGCCACCTCAACCTTTTTCCTCTCGTCTTTAACGAACCACAGAAGCTCCAGAGTCGGTATGTCCTCCAGGAAGAGAGTCGTCCACGGGGACGAGGGAGTGCGGGACGGACTGCCGGCATGCAAGCAGGGCAGGCCGGGTGGAAAGAGGCACGTAGCCGCTCTCATTCTGGCGAGGGGAGGAAGCAAAGGGATCCCTCTGAAGAACATCAAGATGTTGGCCGGAGTTCCTCTCATTGGATGGGTGGTGAGGGCTGCGTTGGACTCCGAGATGTTTGACAGGTAGATACACATACTTTGCATGCTTTGGTGTGTTTGTATGTGTTTATTTCTTCATTTTATACACATGATAGTGTTGTTATTTTGTAGCTCTGCGTGCAGACCTGTCAGTTTCATTACTGCCTCATTAAGGTCAGTTAGGTTAAGGTCAGACCTGCATTCAATATGTGAAAGCAGAAAATTATAATCATAGGCTAAAAAAATATTTTTTCTATATGCATCGCCAGGTAATCAGTAAAGCCTTATGTTAACTTATGATAATACATAATCATTTATTTATTGAGTTATTATTATTATTATTATTATTATGGAAATAGATAAAAGAGGTAGGAAGGAATATTTCAGGATGTAGTTGTGAGATAATTCATGCTGAAAGTCAACACTGACTGAATAGTGATAGTAGGTTAAAATAATACTAACTCTTTTTGACACTTTTTTCTGCTTAATATCATTTTAATCTCATATTTTTGCTTTGTAGTGTTTGTTGCTATTTAATTTCATGCTATTTATTTGAAGAAGATGAGCCATTTTCACTGTTCTCTGACATTGTGCAAACTGAGGAAGTATTTGGTTAATGGCTGACAGAATAATAGGTCATCTAAAGGATCGTTGTCATTGCTTTCCGTCACCACCTTCGCTTTGTATCGTGGACTTCATCCGTGGTAAACTGGCTGCAACGCCTACTAGAGTATAGTACTAACACACCGGTGACAGAGCTTGGCTTCGGCTGTAATTGCTCTTGTGTCTGACACATTAAAGTTATGTTAAACATTTGGTCTGTAGAAGAAAAAGATGAATGATGGCAGGAAATAAAGTAAGATTGATATTTAAGTTAGAAGAGTTAGAAAAACAGATATTAAGTATACAGATATGGTGAAAAAAATATAAAAAATAGTCAACTTTAGTGGTCCAAGAGGCTTTTTTTCTAGAGCACATTGAGCTTTATTCACAGGGCAACCATTTGGCTGATTGATTCAACCCGTAACAGTAATTATAACACACCTTTTGTTTTCCTAGCGTGTGGGTCTCGACAGACCACGACGACATCGAGAAGGTGGCGAGAACCTGGGGTGCCGAGGTGCACCGCAGGAGTGCTCAAGTCTCCAGAGACACTTCTACGTCACTGGAAACCATCCAAGAGTTTGTCAGGCTCAACCCAGGTAAGAAAACCTACACCCGGATGTAATCCAAACTGCCACAACAAGTCAGACTTGTATATTACAACTGCCACGATGTAATATCCACGGTTGATGAGTAACAAAGCGCTGTCTTGCTGCCAAATGGAACCAAAGCAGCTGTTTAATTTTAAAGCATTAAATTTGTTGACTTTTTTTTTTTTTTTTTTTTTTCGCAGAGGTGGATGTGCTGTGTAACATTCAGGCGACCTCCCCATGTCTCCATCCGTTCCACGTGAAGGGGGCCCTGAAGATGATCCTGGAGGATGGCTTTGATTCGGTGTTTGCGGTGGTGAGGAGACACCAGTTCCGCTGGCAGGAGGTCAAGAAAGGATGTGAGTTAACCGATTTAGGAATATAATTTTAACCATTTTAATTATGGGAATTATTAGTTTATCCAAAAATATAAAGGCTCAAGCTATTTTTTTTTGTGCTCATTTCTCGGCAGTGAGGCATTTGTGTTTCAGGTAAATGCCGACAATTTTAATTTAATGCAAAAACAGGTAAATCATTTGGGAAAAAAAGTGGTAGAGGAGGACATTAACGCCCCTCAATAAGTATGAATATGACCCAGCTCTTAGGCTGGAGACACACCACGATAAAGTTTCAACAAAAACATATTTTATTACACCAAATTGAACCAAATTAAGTCCAAAGTGCCGGTTCAGGATGATTAAGATGTGGTGTGTGTTTGTCAGGTAGGGAGAGAAAAGAGAGAGCTGCTGTAGCTAACAGAGAGAGAGAGAGAATAAGTAACCTGGGAACACTCTGGGGTGTTTCAGATGTTCCAGAGAGAGACGTGAATTGCACAGCGCATACGATGACACAACAGGAGTCCTCACTCATAGTAAACAGAGACTCACTATGTGTTGATTTTAAATGACTAGACATGGCCACATATCTATTAGGGTTTGGCAAAATATTTGAATTTCACAATCCTGTTTGCCTCAGGATGAATTGTAAAAACCTTGATCCCAATCCCATAACTTGTCCTGTAACCTACATGATCGAGTCTTTTACTGTCCTATAGCTGGTTTTTACCAATAAAGCATTCAGGCATAGTGCATCCATCATCAGCTCTTCCTTTTTCTGTGGGTGAGGCTGTGGGATCAGCCCGGGCTGCTGCCTGTGCTCAGGGGAGAGAGCTGTAGACACAACCACACTCAAGCAAGTGCAAACAAAAAGCCAGTAAGATTAATTGCGCAAAAGGTGTAGACAGGGTGGAAATGAACAGTCAGCAGAATGCAGACAGAGAAACTCCCTCCAGACAGCGACCGAGATGGATTTTAGTCACTTTAATGAACTTGAAGTGTGCTCTGGGCACTGTATTATCTAAAAAAGTATTTGATTGGGACTGGGTATTGGCAGATGCTCAATAATAAATGACTGGGATCAGATTGGGACATCCATTGTTAATACCACAGTAATATCTTTGTGCAGCCCGAGTAGACCCGTTTTACTTTGCTTTAGAGATATTGTTCATCTGTTTATGTAGTTAAAAAACAGGCTGCATAAAAGAATAATGTTATTCAGCTATTTCTTCTGTACGACAGAGTATTAGGGCCATGCTAAGAGGAAAAATAAAAAAATACAATTTTGGAAATTACGAGAATAAAGTCTTAATATTGCGAGAATAATGTAACAATACAAGAAAAAAAGTAGTTTTAATGAGAAAAAAGCTTTGATAGTTATCAATTTCTGACGTGACTTTATTCTCGTAATATTACGACTTTATTCTCGTAATTTTTCTCTTAGTCTGGCCCTATTACTCTGTCGTTCTTCTGCCAACTCAGCCTCTTCATGTAAATACAATGTGGATGCAAAATGATGTTTCATGGTAGCATGTACCTCTGCCTCCTTCCAGCTGATGAGTTTACCAAGCCACTTAACCTGGACCCTGTCAACCGACCGCGGCGTCAGGACTGGGACGGCGAGCTGTGCGAGAACGGCTCCTTTTACTTCACCACTACAGACCTCATCATGAAGAAGGGACTTCTGCAGGTACGTTGGCAGCACGAGGCGTTGTAGTATGTCAAAAATTCCATTCTTTTAAGTTCTCCCTAAACCAGCCGGTATGGTTCATCATGTGCCTCACAAGACCGCACATGTGACAATACGTACATGTGACCAGTGGTGAATGAGCAGCATGCGTTCATGCAGGCTTTTTCTCTGACTTAAAAAGATGTAACTCACTTTCTGTTTTTATTGTTCGGGTTATGGCTGCTGCATTTTGTTGTCATTGTTTGTGTGCTTTCACATTTTTATGCTGTATCTCTGTTTGCGTCCTCTCCAGGGTGGTAAGGTGGCCTACTATGAGATGCTGCCAGAGTACAGCGTGGACATAGATGTGGACATCGACTGGCCTGTGGCAGAACAGAGGGTTCTCAGGTTAGATATACACAATAACAGCACAGTTGCATGCATCTGCGGGCAGATTTGTGTTTAGGGACTGTACAAAAATGATTATGGGAGGATGGTACAGTTTGAAGGAAAGGTTGCCTGACTGTGTGGGGGGAGCAGGAGAGGGTTTTTTTATTTTATCTTGCCCTAGATTTATTTTTTGTTTCAGCCTTCCCTTGTTAGATTTATTATCTAGTGATTAAAATAGTTAAATTAATAACATTGAAGAGGAAACACAGCAGTGATTTTAGTACAGTCCCTTACTGCAGCATTTGAGTTGATCATTTGTTTCCCCACTCTTGTTCCTTTTTTTAAAAAAATCATTTTCCTGTTCTACCTGTCGTGACTTCTTCTTTCTGAACATTTGTTTGTCAGATATAGACAGTCTGATATAAGGCTCCAACTGCTTTCATGTAAACGCTCATTTTGTGCTCCACTGTTGTCAAATCAGCTTTATTTTACCTAGCCTTATGTGACGTATTGCTTCCCAGGGCTTTATAATCTGTACAACATACGACACCCTCTATCCTTAGACCAGGAGTAGGCTACCTGTGGCTTTTTAGCCCCTCTCCAGTGGCTCCTTGTGGCTGGAAATTGGCTGAAAAGTGGACATTTTTATTTTTTATTGTTGTAGGCTTAATGGGTTTCTGACATTCCCAAACTGTAAAAGTTAAGGATAAGCGGGTATTCCATTATGTATATCGGCATCTGTTCAACCAACGCAATTTTCTGTATCTGTATATTTAGAAGGGCGGGATTAATCTGAAGTAGCTAATTTAAACTGTAGTTGATGTGGTTTGATTAAAAGTTGTTCTATTTATTAGAAAAGGTTTCACAGAACATAAATAAAAGTTAAATATACGTATTGTTTGTTAGAAAACAAGATTTTACTTTGATGATACGTCATCTGTAGTGGATACTCGTTTCGGCCAAGTACTCGCTCAACCTGTAAAATTGAGAAAATAATTTTTTTTTTTTTTTATTCCATCATCTTCTTTTTTTCATCTAATCTCTCCTTTTTTTCCCTCAGGTATGGCTACTTCGGTCGGGCCACGCCGGAGGTGGTTCGTCTGATGTTCTGTAATGTTTCCGGGTGCCTAACGGAAGGAAGAATCTTTCTGACCGCGTCCGGAGAGGATATGGTGTCGGTTAATACCAGAGACACCATGGGCATCCGCATGCTGCAGAAAGAAGAAGTGGAGGTTGGGATTTGTCTGGGGGTCTAAAAAGCATTAGTGAATTGGCTCATAGCATACGGCCACACGCTACCCTCTGTGTTGCTCCACCAGGTCGTGCTGTTGACCTCCAGCCAGGACCCCGTGTCCCGGTCGTTGGCCGACAAACTGGCCGAGAGGACGGGCTGCCAGGTGGTCCAGGTGGGAGAGGAGCCGCTGGATGATCTGAAGCCGATGGTGGAGAAGAGGAAGCTGCAGTGGAAGGACGTGGCGTACATGGGTAAAGCAGCTATGCCTTTTAAGGATTTCTAAGAATATAGTGCGGGACGAACCTTGTCAGGATCAGTGCTGAAACAAGTTGTTGATTAATCAGTTTAACAATTTAGGTTATTCTAATATAGGTAATTTACTGGTTCTTAACTGAGAGAGTGAGCTTCATATAGTTTCTTTTATATCCTAACAAACCATTTTTTGAGCAAAGAAAGCCATTTGAAGACAGTACCGTTGGCTCTAGGAAACCCTGATGGACATCTTTGAGTATCTAAGGACATTTTATGGACTAAAATTATTAAAAATAATCAACAAATTAGCAAGTCATTAAATTATTGTTAGTTGTAGCCCTAGTTAAAGGAATAGTCTAACTTATCCTGTTGATAGTTTTAAAAGCTTCGGGACGGTGACTACAGTCATGGGTTTGCGTGTTGGTATGGCGTATGGTGGTTCGAGTGTGTATACCATCTTCTTAAGACCCCCGTTTTCCACAACACTGTACGGTCGTAGGTCCTTACATATGAAGACGGCCACAGACTCCGTTATCTTCTGTGCGCAGGCAGAGTTTGGCGGCAGTTTGCAAAGGAAGGATCTGTCGAGTTGCGTCTGTTTTGAATCCACAGGCTGGTTTAACACTGCTGCCACCTGCTTCGGTTGCCTTGTTGTTGTTGTTGTTGTTGTTGTTGTTGTTGTGGTCGAGTGCGGCCACCGTCCGTACAACGCAAATCGCACAAAGGTGTAACTCACCGCACCCCCACTGGCCAGGGGCTTGAATCCATTCAGAGGATTTAATGAATCGAAATTGCAATGCTTTGATGAATCGATATTTTTACCCACCCCTAGTCCATAGACTAATATACAATGAGTTTTTATTATGTAAATGACATTAAATGACCCCCTCTTTTCATATCTTCTCCTCTCAGGTAACGATAAGCCCGACGTCAACTGTCTTAACCTGGCGGGTCTGAGCGCAGTACCTGGAGATGCTCCGGTGGTTGCCATTAATGCTGCCAAGTACACCTGCCACAGTGTCGGGGGAAAGGGAGCCATGAGGGAGTTCGCCGAACATATCCTCCTGCAAAAACAAAAAGCAAAGTCACAGATGAAGCAGGACCGCATCGACAGCTGCAGCCATTAATTTAAAGTACATCGGATCTTATGGAGAAGTTTAAGAGTCGGGGCAGTTCATGCACAGATGACAGATGTAATCAAACAGTGCACATTTATTATCTGAGATACTTAAGTAATTGTAGAGTTAGCAGAAATTAAATGATCTGCATTTTACACAATCAGGTTTTACTGTTATTAACTTTTTTGGTGACTTCAAAATATGAGATTCTTTTGAATTCTCTCGATAATTTTATGAAAAGAAGAATTTTAAGTAATGCTGTGAAAATACTACAATGGACTTTTAAGTTAAGTTATTGTGCATTAACAGTCAGGGCATGAAGTAGCACTCTCCTTGTCGGCCGAGTTTGAACATAAAGATACAAAATGTCTACCAAAACCCAAACCACTACACTGGAAACGGCAACTCTTGTCTTTTAAAACACTTTTAAAACGCTAAAACAACCAAACCCGAAAGTGGAAAGAAAGCAGATCAATTAAAAGGTTTGTTTTCATTTTGAAATCACACCAAATGATGCCCCCAAATCTGAAAACAGGTGTAATTATTAGAGATACATTTTTTAAAAATATTTATATAGAAGGTGAAGCATTTCAAACAAAAATATAACAAGTTGAACGTCCAAAATATGTGAGATATATCACCTTTTGACAGGTCTCATGCACTCTTTCTGCTCGTAAATGTCACGTCTCGACTAAACTGTTCCGTCATGCTGTATGTACGTTTTTTTATTTCTCATGTGCCCTTTAAAGCAATAGTTTGAAATTTCGGGAAATATGTTTTCTTGCCAAGAGTTGAAGATGTGTTAGGTCTGTATGGTAAATATGAACCCACAGCCAGTTAGCTTAAACGACAAGTAACGGGAGGTTATGTGGCAAACAGGCATCTGTCTGGGAGCAGTGACTTCCAGTAAAATCACAGCTTTCTTGCAACCAAACAAACAAACAAACAACATATAATGTGTTTAATTAGTGAGCTTTAGAGGTGCAGATAGGTGGAGTTTGTTATTTAAGACAGAGCCTGACCTGTAGCCTTCTATTAATGAGCAGATCTGTGAGTGGCGTAGATCCTTTCGTCTAACTCTCAGCAAGAAAATGAATAAAAGTGTTTTGCTAAAATGTGGAACTATTTCTTAGACGTGCAATCCGGTTTACAGAATGCGCCTGAAGGTAGCACTGAGCTAACTTTGTGATTGTGTGCCTCTCGCTGCCTGTTTAGAAGGTGGCCTGATAGGGAAGTTTATCTTTGTTTGGTTTATAATTAAACAGTGGGGATGGTCTCTAGGGAGCTCAGTGGAATAATAACCTGTGTGTGCTCTATTCAGTAATGTATGAGGTGTTCTTTGTGCTGTATTTTCCATTATCCATTGTTCTTTTTTCACCTTCCTCAGAAATGTTTGGTTGATTTCTATTATTTAATAATTATATATCATGAGGTATTTTGTTGTGTGAGTAATTTTTTTTTTTTTTTCAATGAAGATGTCTGTTAGAAATGGTTGAACGTCTTGGTCTTGTGTTTTTCTTTTTAAATATGCATACTAACACAACTCAGCAGTAACACAAATCACTTGACGGAGCAGGTCTAGCTGTTTCCCACTCTTTTCAAGGTTTATGCTATAATAGTCTCTTGGCTTTATAGCTTTATAGTAAGTTTACAGACATGAGAGATAAGTGGTATTGATCTTCTCATCTAACTCAGCTAATAGCAACAAAAACAAAACCTAAATTAATTGTCAGTACGAAATTTGATGACCTGAATATCATCATTAGGAAAAACAATTTTTTATATTTTTACAAAATCTGTACACCATCAGGGTGCAGACATTGAGGCTGTGAGTATTTGTTGACCCGACATTCATACAATCATTTACAGATGAAGTATTGATATATGATTTGTGGCAACTATAAAGTGTAATAAAGAACACACACACACACACACACACACAGTGAGAAAGAGAAAATGTGTCTGCTTAAACTTGACCTCAGTCATGCAAAACATACAAAGAAAATCGGATAAATTCACACAGGAAAGCATTGTTTGTACGCAGGAAAGTGAGGGACGTGGTTTAAATGTCTCTTTGATGAAGTCACGAGAGGAGAAAGTGACTGCCTGGGGGCCCAGAAAAAGTTCCAGGTTCACTGTGTGTCGGTTGTAGTTTATATAATTACTTGCAAATCTGACTGGAAAAACCAACTGCAGTAAAACAAACTCTGCTTGTAGCACCTGGGTTTACTAGTCTGTGACATGGTGCATTGTCCAAAATAAAGTTGTGTTTCATCAGATAACCACAGACTGACTGAGGCAGCCTGGGTATTCCAGTGTGTGAGCTGGTACTGGTTGCTTTGTGGGTTATTGTGCCAAATACAATGTCGCTGTGTCTTTGTGTATGTTTGCCCTGCAGCACTCAAACAAGTTCAACCGGTTATGGGTGCCAGTGTGATGCGCTGCCTTTTTAATGCAGCTCATGCCTCTTAAAACGAGATCAAGAGATGATTACCGTGATTCCTACACATTTATAACTATTAATAGTAGCAATAGTGGTAGTATTGGCTATAATTAGTTATAGGTTTTGTAAACCAGTGGTGTGCACTTAAGAAATATTTCTCTACTGTAAAGTAGGCAGGTTGGTTCCCTGGTTGGCATTATTTATTCTGTTTGTTATTGCTAAGAAACCCATGAAAAACCAACAATGTGTGTTTAAGAATAATCAGTTCTTTGACTGGAGACCCGAGAGCAAATATATCCATATAAACACAAGCCATATACTGTATATATACATAACGTGCTAACACACAACAGACTCCACTGTGTAGTATGAACAGTGCCATGAAGACTTCCTTGTATGAATATTAAACTGTTGCTAAAGGAGAAAATGGGTTTTAAATCTTATTACAATGATGATACCATGTTTTTTTATGTTTGTTTTTGACTTCCTGATATTTTTTACACTATGATGGGAAAAAAATACTTCTGGGAGTAAGACTGAGAACGTTGGAGTCATTCAAGGATGAAATCAGTCACCTCCCTTGTTTGTGACATTTGTGACGTCAAGGTGTTTAAAAGATCGAGAGAGTCCGGTTCGGTGACATATTTATTCGCTTTATTGCTGAATCCTTCTGGTTCCACCTAATGGTGACTCAGATTTCGACTCAGGAGTCGTTTATGAGTAATGGTGTCAGAATAATAATCATGTTAATCATAACGATAATAATAACTTTATTTGTATAGCAAGCAACATATGAGGTAAACAGATACAAGCAAAAACACACCAATAATCAGACATGCTGTTAAAAAGAGATTAAAAACATAATTCATCTAACATATGTTCCAAAATAAAATATTATATATTAATATTAATAATATAATTTAAAAATAATCAAATAAATCACAAGGATGCACATCGGGTAAACTAAATATGTCACCAAACCGGACTCTCACAGTGTTTTCCACACCTTAATGTCACGAGTGTCTCAAACATGAATGAATGAACACTCTCGGTCTTACTCCCAAAAGTCTTTCTTCCCCTAAGTCAAAAAGGGAAAAACATATGTATCATCATTGTAATAAGATTAAAAATACATTTTCTCCTGAGCAACAGGTTCATATTCATACAAGGAAGTGTTTATGGCAGTTGGTGGCACTAGTCATACTACATTCCTTCATGAAAAGGCAAATTGTAAACTAAGGTTTTGGTTGACTTTGCATTGAAGACACTGTAATGCCCTGGATGAAACTACTTTCCCTACTTTCTAAATTGTTGCATCCCTTTGTCCCATCATCTGTTTCTTTTCTTTTCTTTTCTTTTCCTCCTGTTTTGTGATTATTTCCGTCATCTGGGGCTTGTTGGAACCAGCAGAGAGAGCTGGCGAGAGATAATTTGAACCTTAAATCAACTTTGACATTGTGCCATGTCCTGGTTGAGGGTGTGTCCAGTACCTGTGTTATTTATATGTTAGTGCAAGATTTATTGCTTCACTGCGTGCACTGTGTTTTACGGGAGAGGAAAGAGACAGGGAAATGAATACACAATTTACTGGAGAGTAAAGTGGGTGAGGGTTCCTTCATGATTCAACAGATCACTAAACAGATCACTAAATGTCCTCCCAGTGCAATGATGATGATGTTGCTTTCAACTGACGTGTTGTCACTCCTTTATTGAACTCTGTGTGTTACTTTCAACCACTGTAAATGAGGGTTTTATTGACATTTCTAAAAAGTTATGACAAGCATAATTTAATTGGCTTTATGTTGAAGAATATCAGTGAAAAAAATATGCTGACTCATTTGCCTATATGAGGCACAAACATCCGGCTGGAAAAAGCTGGAACACATCTCTCCCTGGTGTTAACAGTATTGAACTGCAGTTCTCTAACTCGCTGCAAGAAAGTCAAATTTGTGTAGTAAGTGAAACTATTCCTCTAAAGCTCAGAGTCATTGAAAGAATAACATGAAATACAGACGCCCAGATGCATCAGAACATGTGATTGTTTTAATAAATGATCATCAAATCATTTCCAATACAACATTAAAATGTCCCAGCTGTGCAACATCTGCCAACAGAAAGTTTAATAAGCCAACCATTCATTAAAAAAGGTGCATGAGTATATTAAAAAGAGAAGAAGCAATAAAAAATAACTTTCAAGTCTTGTTCTGTTACTCTGTCATGTTTACTGGCGTGATGACCAGTGGCCCGTCGTTCTTTCCAGATTTATTAGTGCAGGGGCTGAAGAACGGGTAGATGCATTCACTGAAAGTGTCATTGAATGTGTAGATGTGGATTTTAGCATCAACGTTGTAGAAAGAAACCTGTAGAAGCAGGAGGACATACAGAATTATTTGAAAACAAGTTGAAAGAGACTGGTGGTTGTTGATGTCTTGATATTCTGTTCGTTTGGTAGAAGACAAAAGAAGTCAAGATATGTAAAAATGTGTTTCCCATACTGCACCTGTCCTTTCTCGAAGTCCACAAAGATCCCAATCTTGTGTGGTCGGAGGTTCAGATGGACGTCTGTGGAGGGTTCAGTGCGGAAGGCGTACTTGTTTCTGAGTAATGAGGGGAAGGACAAGAGAGAGGACCGGATAGTTAATTACCAGAAAGGGAAAGAAAAGACATAAAATTGAGTGTTTAATGTCAAAGTCCGCCATATTTTACAGTATGTTGTCTCTAAAACTAGAATTTGACAAAAAGTGGCACAAGGAAACAGATGGTGGTGGGATGCTGAGAAGATTAAAGATTAAAACTGCATTAGTTTACTTTTTTGGCCACTTGGGGGCAGCAAATCATGCTGTAAACGGATGTTTTCCCTTTATGAAGATGTTTCAGCTAAAGTGTTGACAAGCAGTTATGAAACAACCTTAACATTCATTTGCAGACAATATTCACTCTCTTTATAGCTCTGTTTTTGGTCGCCAGCAACTCCTGAGGAAAATATCTAGCCCTTTACCTGCTAAATGCTCAACTGTGTTCTCCAGCTTGTTGCTAACTTTGTCTGTCTGCTGTTTGGTGCTGAGCTGGTGTGCAGTGGGATTTTTGGGAGCTTCTGGGGGAAAGAGGGGAATTGTAGCTCAGAAAACCAAAATAATGAGCTTAAAGAAGCTAAAAGGCTCCATGGAAACCACAGTAATAATTCTCTGTGTGGTAGCCTCTACAAGCGACCCCTTTCACATTGGACACAGTCATCTGATTCATTGTTAATATAAAAATATTGATTAGTGCAGCTCTAAGGTGGATGGTTAACAAAATAACCAAAGCCTGCATCCTGGTCATACATCAATATTTCATTAGCTTGCAATCAAAGATGTAATTTACTGAGCAACTCTATCAAATTAACATCCCACTTTAGGTAATGAACTGACAACTCACTTGTCTCTCAGGCTGAGGAACCAGTATCCGTTGCTTGGGGTCACTTCAATCTTCCCCTTCCTGTTGATGGATTGTCTGGCCACCCCCAGATCCCAGTCCGTCTTCCCACCCACCTCCACCTGTTCACAGGAAGTGGGACATATTTCTACAATCAAACACTGAGACATACAAAAGGCCGGAAGAACAAGAGTGTAAATATTTGGTCATACCAGAGATTTGCTTTTCTGTGGATTATGTAACCAACCATGAGTCTCTTTAGCAGCATATTGCTCTCCAGCAAATAGTCTACTTAAAGGAGAAAGCCTCTTACCTCCCAGTAGTGTCTCCCAGAGGAGATCTTCTCCCTCCCCACGACACAGACGACTCGGTCAAACCGCTCTAGATTGTCCGGAAGCAGCTGGTGTCGATCTCCACACCTCACCTTCAGAAATACAGTTTATCAGTATCAAACTTTATCATTTTATAGCCACAGGGGAAAAAATGGACAAAACATTTCAGAATTTATTCATATATATTCATGTGATTTCAGCAAACCTGAAAAGAGGCAACTGTACAACAAAATTTGCTTACCAAAACCAAAAATATACCAAGATTTTAGTCACAATTTTTAGAGAAATATTCAAGATCATAATGAATTTTAATGTGGGTTTGTGACTGCAGGTTTTGAATCCCTGTATTGCCTTACAAGCGTAATGTTTTACACTCCGTATTCCTTCATAAACAAGCTCACAAATGTAATGCTAAACAAAAACTTATGAATGATTAAGTATTCTATGATATAATAGTTCAACAGGCGTCTCACACTCTTCATGTCCTCTGATATAATCAGTCTGGGATGGGCAGTGTCGGAGTCCAGAGTCACATTCACTGCGTTGAAGAAAGAGAAAACATGTACAGAATTTTATATTAATATATATTTAATCATGTATGACTTTATGTGTCCATAATATTGTTTTATTACTGAATTTAGTGAGTGGGAATGTAACATGCCTGCATACTCCTGTATCCTCTTTATCCCTGCAGAAAAACAGTTTCATTAAAACGAGTGGAAATGTTTCTAGAACTCTCTGATGCACTGTATAGATTTATACAATTAATCTGTTTGAGGTGGAGCGCTCACGTGACTACTTGCAGTACAATGTACAGTATATGTGTAACTGCTGAAGACAGGATGGATGGAGCCACTCACAATTTAAGGTGGATGGCAGATATCATTCACAGGTTTATGTACAGTATAGACCTTTATGATTAGCCTATTTAAGGTGGAGTGGGAGTGGACACTCACTGGGCTGCGTTCGGACTGGACTGGGTTCCAGTACTAAGGCAGGAAAACCTGAAGAGGAACAAGGAGACACGTATTAGAGTTCATGTTTATCTCTCTATTTTATTTTCTGTGTAAATGTTGGTTTTATTTCTCTATGATATGCTATCTTTGCACATATTTCACTGTATGGTATTGTATTTTGTGAAGTATCTTGAAACTCTGGTTTTGAGAGGTGCTATAGAAATAAAGTGTATATTAAGCCCTACCACCAGAGGGAAGCATTTCCATACTTTATGATAGATCTATAGTTTGTCTAAAGGACTTAAAGAGGGAGGGTGTGGTTTTAACAGAGCAAACTGACTGGCTCAAGATTTTCTTTACTGATACCAAAATCAGGAAAATCTTAGTTTAGGTTTGCTCTATATAAACTCATGTTTCTACAGACTCAATGTGCTCCTGTAAAAAAACTAAAGTATTGTTCCAGTCTTCATTGCTTATCTTTGGAAACAAGCCTTGTGTTTTGTATTTCACTGACCTGTGTCTGCAATTTTCTTCAGTTCTTCCTGAAACCTCTCCACCTGAACTGCCAGTGATCTGTAGATGGTCCCTGTTCCCAGGTCAGAGTTCACCGACACGGCGGACCAGTCTTTGGCATGTGGAGGGCTGGAGAGGTTGGGGAAGGTCTGGGAAGTAGGTGGGAATGAATGTCAAATGACACAGAATTCAGCTCTGCTCAGGTTTCCCTCAGTGTTTGCCATATATCATCCAACCAAACCTCATTAGACCCTCACCAACCTTGACACAGTGTATGTGGTCATCTGATTGGGCGAGCTCGGCGAGGGCGCTTCCTCTCCTCCGCAGTTCGTCAACCTCCAGCTCCAGCTGTCGAATCATGGCGTCAGCCTGGTGCTCAGCCGCCCGCCGGCTCATCTCCATCACCTCCATCAGCTCTGCCTGGGAGCGCTCGATGGCAGACACAAGAGCAGAAAACAGGCAAACACTGCCCGCCGTGTCTCGCTCCACCGCCAACTGTGGAATTTAAGTGTGTGACGTAAAGTTTTGACCTTTCAAGACACCTTTACAGTCAGAATTTTTAGTCATTTGTCATTTTTAACAGCACTGAGATTTTCTTGTATCATGTAACCCTCAAAACAGATGGGAATATACAGTATCTATAGATTCAGCATCTGATTTGAAGTCAGAAATGAACAGAAACACTGTGCCCACAGGTATAAATGAACAAAAAATAGTAAAACACTGAAAACTTTGAACTTCGGAGCTTAGGAGCATGAAATTGTTGTTGAAATGTTGTAAGTTTGGTTGGAACCCCAAACATTCAAGTAGAAACCCCCTAAAATTCAGGAACACACCTAAAACCCCAAACTTTGTTAAAAACAAAGAATAACGTTATAAATACTCCAAACTAGAGAATGACAACCTTAAAAATGTGGTTACAACCTCAAAAGTCAAGTAAAAACATGATTATTTGTAACCCCTATAATCTTTGAGGGTGGGCAGAACCATGAAAAACACCTCAAAGTATATCTTAAATATATTGAAATTTATTGAAATTTGTAAATATACTTTACCAAACCCCTAAACAATCATGAAGTGGAATAAAACCAGAAAAAGTTGGTGACATGTTTTTTGATTAAAAGCTGATAAAGGAATGAGAGGAGGATTTACAGGTTTTGCAACACAACTGTGGCATTTACAAGCGTGTGTTTGTGTGTTTGTCCTACCTCCAGTTCAGTCACTGACTTTCTGATCTCCTCAATCTTCCTGATTCTCTGTCTGATCATTTCCTGGATCTCCTCCCCCGACACACTTAACTGGGCCTGCACACAAACACACACACACACACACACACACACACACACACACACACACACACACACACACACATACTTTTAAATAGGATTATCTACGGATGGACATGCTTACCAGTGTTTTTCTAATTGGAGACCAAACTTCCGTAAAGGTATTCCCTGATTTGTATTTTCAGGATTGAGGCACAAATACCATGGCCACTTAAATTCTGATTGCTTGGAAGGTGTGCTTTAACTTTTAGTAACCAGACAGTATAACTGGACACCTATGGCTTGCATGTTTGATCGCTAAAGCAGTGAACCTGTATTAAAATGAAGGTTATGACAGCAACAGTGAGGCATAGCTAGAGAACTATGGTTATGTAACCAACATCAGAATCACTCACAAGTATTATTCTCTACTCTTGTAGGTCGGGTATGGTCATAATTTGTCAGAACTTCTCCCGGTTTTAATTTGTCAGGATTTTAAAACCCCTAGTTTAGCAAACGTCACGTATTTTGACCCTCATAAACTATATTTTATGATATTTATAACAGAAAAGTGACAACAAAATTAGTTGTAATATTAAAGGAACAAATTCTTCCTACACAAATCTTAACATATGGCACTTTGTTGGCAAGTATCCATGATGTAAGTGGGATACCCTCAAAGTTATGGCACAAGTCTAGACTGCATTGCATCCTTATTAAGTTTATTTTGTCTGGCTCAAATTTCCAAACACAAGGAACTTCTTGCTATCACATGTCAGCCGTCACTGGCTTCGTAACAGTTTGTGGTTTGTTGTTGTTCTTCTTCCTATTACAGCCATTGTTGTCTGGTTTAAAAAAAAATATGATTCACTTCAAACATCATTCTGCTTCATTGTCCAACCTTGACTTCCATCCATTTGGTTTCCACAGTCACTGTGTCGTGATCGTAATGGTCCTCGTTCGCACATTCAGGACAGATACAAACTTGGTCAGTCCTACAGTAAATCTGAAATCAGTGAGAGAGTGTTTTCAGTGAGAGAGTGTTTCAGAGTCAATCTGCCATGAAAATATAAACAGCCTCATGTTGAAAGGAGCATAAAGTCATTACTATTCTTCTTGTTCCTCAATAAACTGGAACAAAACGCTTGTCTGAAAGACTGAAAATCAATGACAGATATTGGTTTATACGAGTATTGTACCATTATTCCTCTGTGGTGGATCTCGCAGAGAGGGAGGCTGTGGCTGCTCGCAGCCCCGCTAACTGTGAACCTTCTCCGGCCGCTGGAGCGGGAGAAAGGGGGAGGCAGCGGGGGAGGTACGGAGGTTTGGTTCAAGGCAGCAATCGCACTTTGGTTTGGTACCGAAGAAGCCAGTGAGGTTGTGACTGGTGCCAATGACGTCGGGATGGACTCAACTTTCAAGATAGAAGATACAGGAAAAATCAAGGAGGCTCAAAAAGCTGTGCACCTTCTTATTTTGATCAGTCAACTAGTTGGTCCAACACTTTAGTCAGGACTAAAACTATCTCAAGAAGTAATAGCAGGATTGTCATGACACATCACAAATTTTGGCCCGATTTTGAGAAAAATGCAAATAAATGCCTGTTTCCATCCACTACCATAATGCAAATATGAGGAGTGAGTTCACGAGATAAGCAGTAGGCTAGGTAGCGCAGGGTCTCCAGTCGGAAAACCAAAAGAAAAGAGCGGCATCAAACCTCAAACAGTGTAAAACAGTACAGAAAACACTTTGGAAATATGGCATTCCTGTTTATTTCCTGTACTAATGTGAGGAAGGTTACATCAGATCTGGGTGGAGCAATCATAGATGAATTGTGGAGCCATGGGAGTGATGAGGGGACTGTCATATCGGAAACAGATGATCAGTTATGTAAGTTCAATGTTTGCTACGTCAGAAAAAAGGTCTTCCATTAACTCTTCCAAAAATGTAAAAAAAAAAAAAAACACCTCAAGCTTTTTTATGAATCCATTTTCACCAAACATTACTTATGCCATACTTCAACATCCACATGAAAATATGTTCATGGAAACACAGCTATTGTTATTATTGAGCATATTAACATGCTGACATCAACATTTACAGCCTACAACAGCTGCTAGTGTGGCTGCAGACCGTTTCTTGTCTTGTTAAAGATTGCTGTTGTGCAACATAGCTCTGACAAGACAGTCATACATCATCTGCAGAATGTGCAAACCGAACTAAGCAGACTGGCTCTGCCACTGTGTGTGATGAATGAATATAGATTTGTGAAGAACGATAAAAAACACCAGCACTTTTAGACACAGGTTGTCAATGTTATTTATGTGTTAATTTAATTCCATTGCACACATTCATTCACTTTTGTCTGGAGGGGCTTAAAAGTCCATACAGCCTCTGTAGGAATAAGATGTAGATTTCATCACGTGCATGGCTCCCAAGCAACCAACACAGTTCAGTGCTACGGAAAAAGTGATTATTGTCTTTTTACATGAGATGATAGCAGTAGCACGGGATGCCAAGGCGTAGTCTGAAATGCTAGGTTTTCAGTAGAAAAGTCCACTCAAGAGACGAAAAATGGCTTCAGGTGAAAACAGATCTGTGTGAAGTGATGAGGGCACTGTAACTTTCCTCAAATGAATACATCATGTTTTCTGAATTTTACATCAACACATTTTGGTTTGACTATTGTTCTTGTACTGTAACTACATCAACTCATTGCAGAAGAAGAGGCCACTGTAGTTTACCCTTTGTGCTTGGAAAGGCAGGGGGAAGCGAGTGAGTTGCAATCTGCACCAACACCGCTAGATGCCACTAAATCTTGCACAGTGGACCTTTAATGGCACCAACTGGAGCCAACTACAAATATTCACATGTGGATGGAAATGCACATCATTTTCTTTTGCAGATTTTCTGATAATTTGGATGAAGGCCTGGCTTGAATTCCTGCCGTTCTGACCTCAGTGGAGAGTTACTCACAGGAAAGTCAAAGCAGCATCTAGACCATCATGAGAAACTAAATGCAATCATCATGTGGAAAGACACATTCAGGTCAGTCATCCACTTAAGACAGCAGTACAAATAATCTAACCTTCTGCTTTTTCTACCTCATTTTAATCTTTCTAATGACCCTCTACTTTTCTATGCTTCTTTAATCTTCAGCTCCTATCAGAAATATAGGAAATACAATTTGACGCAATGGTAATTTATAATTCAATACAAAACCACCATTCGTCTGCAGTTTGTTGGAAAGAATACTTGAAGGAAAGTGCTTCCTTCAAGTACTTTGAATCAAATCAAATGCCTGATTGTTTAGGTGGATTTATCAGAGCTGCTTATTCAATGTCCTTATAGAAATGTTACAAGATATTTTGACTTGTAATCTAAAATGTACTAAAAGGCGGATTTTGATGAACCCTAATTAACCTGTCTTACCTTGAGACTCGCAGGGCAGTGAAACCGGCACCTTTGGCAGAGGTCGAGGCAGCTTCTTCTTCAGTTCGTTAAATAAATCATCCGGTATGCCTGCGTCTCCCCCTTCTCCTCGCCCGCCTCTCTTCTCCCTCCCCACTCCTCCGCCTCCTCTCATGGATCTGAACTGCTCGGTGATCTCTCGCAGTGTCCTGTTGATCTGGAGGTCTGGACGCTTCTGGAAGGTCTTCTTGCACAGAGGACACTGGCAAACCTGAGAGAGGAAGGATGGAAGTGAAAAAGTAAAAAATGAATGTACTAGCCCCACTAACATCACAGAGACAACCTTTACTTTCTCTATAAGGTTAATTGTGATGTGTTTATAAGACCTCCTGGGTTTTTTAAAATACTTATTGTAAATGTATTTCCAGAATAAAATAAAGATTGCACCTCTGTGTTCAAATCAAAACAAAGGCAGTCCACCAGCTACCTGGATAGGTAGGTAGATAGGTTGGTCAATGCGCTTTGTGGTCAATGAATGTACTTTTTGAAATGATAAAACCAAAATTCTTTTTACTACTCCACAACTCTACCACTCGTGCTTTTTTGTTCCCCAATGATTTTTGTTTTCTTATCTCAGAGCAATATCTGTTGGCCACAAGGCCCTCTGACCTAGGTAAAGACCACAAGAGAAGGAAAGACAGACATGAGTGAGAGATAGAAAGAAAGTCTTGGTACAAACTGAGGGAATGGAGAAAGAGAGGGACATAAACAAAGGATAGGTAAGGACAGAAGGAGAATGCAGAAGACACACACCTTAGACCCGTCCCAGTATCTGCTGATGCAGCTCATGCAGAAGCTGTGGCCGCACGGTGTGGACGAAGGGTTATTGAACACATCGAGGCAGATCGAGCACTGGAACTGCTCGTCAGACAGAAAGCTACCATATAAGGACATCCTGTGGACAGTGCAAGAGAAACAGGAATTAACCAACTATTAATGAACTATTTACAAAAGCAAGAGGCTGTATTATTTTTCATAAAGGTGATTAGAAGACAGAAACATAATGACTTGAATAAGTTGTTCCGAATGCATTGTTCTTTTCACTTTCATCCCTTGCTGCAGAGGTTCATGCAAGAGGTTGAGTCAAGTTTTAGACTGCAAGAAGACATTTTTGTGACCCTTTGTTCAACTTTGTCCCTGGGTAACACTTGTGTTCATAACGAGGTATACTGAAATTGAACAGGGTCAAGAAGCCAAACCTCATACCTAAACAACAGAATGACTCACAATTCATGTATTCTGAGCTGCCATCTGGTTAAGGTTCGGTTAAGTTTAGGTTACTAGAACTGCTTGGCTAAGATTAGTGAACGACTGGGGTCAAAGAAACCAATGTGGACTCCAACATCATGCTACTTCCTCTGCAGAATCCTCTTACCTTTGGCCCTGAGCCAACACTTTAAGGTCCAAATATCTACACAAGAAAACTGAATGTGCTCTTGAGGGGATAAACCCAAGACCTTTATTTGAGCATCAACTTCAGGACAAACATTACAGTTTTGGCCACACACTGGTTTTAAATATAGACAATAAGATGCAGTGTATCGGAATTTGGAGAAGACAGTGGAATCAACACTAAGAAATACTGTTTAAATGAAGGTGTTTTTTGGTTTGTTTAAGGTAGAGTGTGGGGCAACTGCAAAGGCAAAAAAAGGTGAAAGTTGAAGTATGAGAGACAAACTGACACATTATATAACACACACATACACACACACACGCACACACACACACACACACACACACACACACACACACACACACACACACACACACACACAAATCACCCCTGTCGCCACAAATCAGATTAGGATGGTCAAAAAACGTAAGGAATGAAGTGGGTCAAGATTCTGTCCTGCATTATCACGTACACTACATACACACACAGATGACACACGATAATACACTGTATTTATATTCTAACAAAATGAAAATAAGGCCAAAAGATGTGAGCACAGAGGAAGTAAAGACAATAATAATAAATATATCTATGTATATCAAACATTCCCAAAAGATTTCACAATTTTTTAAGAAGACATATAAAAGAAGCTATGACTTACAGCAGTGGTTCCCAAGTTTTTCCTAAAGGGACCCCTTTACATATTATATAGAGTTCATGTAAAATGTGTGATTTGGATTAATGTTGAGCAATATTTCCTGTGAATATTGCATCAGAGATTAGCTTGGCTTTTTTTATTCTGTATATTCAGTGGGTGTTTCTCACTTATGCTTGGCCATTGTTTTCTTAGCTCTTTGGTTGTTTTAACTGTATACTTCTCTAATGCAGGATGAGGCTGTCAGAGAGTGAAGGCTCTGTGAATATAGCCCATGTTCAAGTCTTCAAAGTTTAAATAATAATCTAAAGTCTAAAGTTTTCTTTACGGAATTGAACCAAATGCTGAGACCTACTTTGTATATCTTATAAGTTTTTTTACACCCCTTAAAATCAAGAAGACCTCACGACCCCCCATGAAGCTTTGACGACCCATAGTGGGGGTTCCGGGGACCACTAACTTAGCGTGTCTGAGTTCAGTAGGCAGAGAAAGCCATAGTGTCTCTAGTAGCCAAAGTCTGATCATCACAAACTATGGCCTGCCACAGGGCTCCATCCACATATCTTAATTGTCGAGAGGGCGCACAGCCTGGGATGACCCTCGAGTGTTGCAGTAATCAAGCCAAGAGAAAATTAAAGCATGTACAACTTTTTGTAGATCAGCAGTTGATAAAAATGACCTAATTTTAGAAATTTTCTTGAGCTTGACTGAACAACATCTCTGACTTAATCATTGAAACAGTGGTTAGCATCAAATGTTACCCCTAGATTCCTGCTTACAGTTACATTATTTGACAGACAAGATTAGCACCAAAAGAGCTGATGGAATTTGGGTGACCGAACAGAATGACCTCAGAGTCATCATCACATGTCGCAAACACACTTTAAATATCAATGTTTCTGTAATAATTAATACTAAAAGTACAATTTTATAAGCAGTTTGTGCTTATTCTGTTTCTGTGTGATGGAGGGCTGGAGATCTCACTGAGTGAGATGCATAATATGCTCAGGATAGCTACGTATCTGCAGAGCTAACATATGCCTTTATTTTGAGAGTATGGGAGACAAGAACAAGAAACCGTATGAATCCAGTTTCCTGATTATATACAAACGATGCATTCCTTTTTTAAAAAATTGATTCTGTGTTGCCTGTAAAACTTGCAAAAGTGCATTCAAAAAAGGTTTCTAAGCATTTAAACTCCTTTACTGCTTCAACAGGCTGATCATTAATACATTTAAGTATCATCAAGTGACATGTGGAAGATTCTTCCTTTACCTACAGCACAAACGATTGCCATTGCAACTCTAATGGTTTCTACACTTGTCCCTTGTCCATGAACGTTTTCTTAAGATACTTCATTACACAGGAAATAAGTGAGTAAAAGTTGATACCTTTCCTGTTGGTGATTTTAAGATATATCCAAAAATCTCCAGAGACGTACAAAAACTCTGTCAGCTGTTTCTTGATCTTAAGAGGTCGTATCTCGCTCGCTTATGCTCTCACTTATGATAGGCGTCGTTTCAGGCTGTGAAATATAAAGTTTGTTTGTGTCTTGACGAAAGGAAAGTCACACCACGCCCACTCATCTGTCTCTCTGTTAGGCAGGTAAATGTGGCAGGACTGGTTAAGGTGGGAAAACACACTCAGAGTAGGTCAAATGGCCACAGTCTCTACCCCTTTTCCTTGTTCTTGGTTCTCTTGTCTTTACATATCGAGTTTCCTGGAAGCATAGGAACAAATCAACCTCAACCATTAAGAAGAATTACACCCACATACATCGGCCTGTTAGATTGTATCTGATATGTTAAACATGATGACTTGGTAAGACACTATGATAATGATATGTATAATGTGAAAGAGAATAATCACCCTTCTCAGCAGTTCTTCTCAGCTTTTTTACCGTCTTTCAGCTCATCGTTTTGGTTTTCCAGCCTGCAAATTTAGTATTTTTGTTCACGCTCTCGGCTCTCATTGGTTTAGTTTCTCTGGATTCTGGATCTTGTAAATATATAATTAAAGTAAAACTTAAATTAGAAGCAGGGTCCCAGTTAGAGGCATTATCATCTCTTCATCAGTCTCTAAAAAGCGTTTCAACAACAATGAATTACGGTGCCCTACACACCGTAAACCCAGATAATTTAATTTAACTTGAAACTGATAGCATCAAAAATTTTAGGCAAAACTAACAAAATTTTATAAGTTAGAAATAACATTCTTGATCAAGTAGCTGATCTAGTTAGTGAATTCATTTTGTCATTTTTATTTGTACTGTAAAAACAAACAAAAAGCTATTAATCAGAAATGTTTCTGTAAATTAGTGTCACTTAGATAACTCCTTTTTTTAGCCTTAAAACTAAGTTTGTGTTGATGTGGTTTATAGCTAAATTGACGTATCTGGTTTTACAGTGTATGTGCTAATACTGACAATTTATATCAAGTGCAATTCTAATAATGATTTTCTTCTTGGCTTGTGAACAAGGTACAATCTTTCTGGGCTCCACCAACTCAACGGTTATGGGACCCCAACAGGAAATGTAATAATAATAATAATAATAACTTTAATGCCAATTGCCTCACCGTGGTCTGAACACTGTGTGCATCTCTACGTGACCGAGGTTCAATGATGGCATGAAGAATGTACAATTAACTCCTCCTATCGCCTCCTCCATCTCTGCCAGCACACTTCACAGTCGATACAGAGCTGTGGGAACTGTGTTTTCTGCCACCTGCATGTGCCTTTGTGGGATTCGGCTCCCTTTTAACTGCATGCTCACTCTGTGTGTGTGTGTGTGTGTGTGTGTGTGTGTGTGTGTGTGTGTGTGTGTTTTTGTGTGCTTGCATGCATTTTTTTGTTTACTTTCTCCATGTGCGAGCTAGATTGGACCAGTGGCATCTCACATTTTACACGTTTGTCATTCCTTTTAGCAAATGATGCGATACCTCCAGAGAGAGATAAACGGACTCTCAGACAGTGTGTACCCAAACAGGATGCTGGGCTTTGTTAAAAAACATCTTCCGTAATCGTGCTTATGATGCAGCTTCTCAGTAATTGCAACCTGTAGAATGTGCAAATTGTTTTTCTGGGTAATTTGGATAAAAGTGACCCTATAAAAGTAAGTAGCTAGTTTGTAGTGGGTGTTCAAATAAGTCAGTTTTGCAGATTTTTTAATGGCTGATTTAGCATTGCAGGTAGCCTAATCTTAATAGCCTGTAAAGAAACTCTTAATCACTGTGGCTTTATATGAAATATTTGAAAATTTTGAAATCAACAATAAAGGCAATAGAATAACAATGTATAATGGTGCCTGGAGAAGTGGGTATACTCTTAATTTATGCCCCCCAATTATTTTTTGAAGCGCCCCATCAAGCAAAGGATCAGCCATATACTGTACATGGATGGATGACATATAACTGTATATTTAGTTCCCAGTTAACATTAGCCACAGAAGAAGTGTATATTTTGCAATTAATACTGGCCCACATACAGGTGAGATAGCTACATAATTATGTATGTTGAGCGAAGTATTCCTTATTCCTCACTCCATCCACTCATTAATACTGTACAACTATGTCATGCCTTCACCTTGTCAAAATCAACTTGCAGAACACTTCTGCACATCAGAGGTGGGTATACCCAATGCTGCATACAGCAAGTAAGTAAGAACACAGTTTAAAACAAGAGCAGATACTCATCAACAATAAAAAACAGCTTAACAAACAAACAAGATGTGGTACAGACTTAGCTGACCTGAGCTTAACTGATAGTGAGGGCGAGGCAATTCCATAGAATTGGAGCTAAAACAGTAAAAACACATTCCGTATTTGTTTTGAGTCTAGACCGTTTGACATTTAAGCAGTTGTTCTGCAGATCTGAGTAATCTTGGTCCAAGTATTGGGTTATAAGCTCAATAAATATCAGGTGCCATGCCATGAAGGGCGTCCAATTAAGTCTAACTGAGTAAATACAACAATGTTTCCCTCTGAAATGTAGTAAAAAGGAATATTATGAATTATACTTCACTATAATGCTTGAGTATATTGTTACCGTCTAAGACCTTGTTTTTACTCTGCTTGTGTTTCAGTCACTCGCATAGAAGATGTGGCTTCAAGTCCTTCACTTTAAAGACTTAACTATGTACCAATCAACAATACCAGCAGTGCTTTTTCTCTCGTACATTCCGCACTGTCGCTTCTGTGTTGTTTCACAGTAAGAGCTATTGCACCACCGTAGCCAGCTGATAACTGTACCTGCGCTTACATTTCAAGCATATGACTGACACTGGCGGATGCCAAGATCGAACCTGTTTTCTCCAGCCTCAGTAATGACATCATGATGTTGCTGAATGGCACAAGGAAAAGTACATGAAGTTCTGTGAATTAGTCAAATGGAAGCTGCACAGTTTTACTTACAATAACCGCAGTCAGGGTATTTTGGTTGACACTTGAGGGCAGCGGAAACAGGTTGTGAACACAACACTCACATAGATATCATCAGCCGAAACCCCAATAGTCCGAAAAATGTTACATTGGACCGAAAGCCCATTTGTCCAGCAGCCTGTTATCTTAAAAACAAAAGCCCACTGTTCCGATGGCCTGTTGTTCCGACAACACACACTCTCTTGAGTTTTTTGCCCTTAACATCTTGGCATATTTTGGCACAGTTAAATACGTTATGTAAGTTACACCAGGCTGGTGTTTCCAGAGCAATGGGCATTTGTTTTCGGGATAATGGGCTGTCCAATTGGATGTTTTTCGGATTATTGTGGTTTGAGAATAATGGGCCATCGGAACAAAATACAAACGATTAAAATTTGCAACTTTCTGAGTTTACGAGGACCGCTTCGACAAAAAATATTTGCCTCTCAGAGCCTAGGGGCATCCTTCACTTCCTTCAAAGGAAAACAGAATATGAAAATGACTCCCTGTTGTTAACAGCCTCCAATGACAGATTTACACACAACATACAGTAGAGAGGACTCTTTCTAGGTCACTGTGTCAGGTCAGACTTCACCAAAAACACACCCAGTACATACTAGCATGCAATAGATCATCCTGTGAGTGTGTCCATGCCAACACGCACAATAACACATAAAAAAAAGCACTCCACAAAACACGCAATGCCACAACATGTAAACTTTACATAAGGATGCCTTCAGAGATACGCCCACCTACTCACATTTTCCGGCTTGCAAGGTTTGTCAGCTAGCACTGAGTGTGTTTGTTTGTGTGTCAGTATGTCGGTCTGACAAACAATATAAGAGCCAGGTTCAGGTTAACACATTTTTACCATTAAATGCAACATTGTAAGGGGGTAGAGGTTGTAACATGAGTCAGTTATAACAATGATAAGCTCTGGTTCACAGCTATTGTGACACACTGCAAGTGAATTTTCCCTCCTCGCCACAAGGAGACACCAACTGTTGGATCAGTGTACTACTGATTACCTCACGCATTATAATATATAATATCTGGACAGGACTTTCTCCTCTTTTGTCTCCAAACGTTTCTGTTTGATGAGGGGTGATAGGTGTTTGCCATGTGTCTTTTGACGAACCTTCAATGTAAGTAGCTCTTTCTCTATATTAAATGACTTTATAGTATTGTATATAAGAGACATGAAGGTTAATGATTACGTTTGTTGATTAATATTATGATGAATTATATGGCTATATGGTTTGGCTAATCTTTATTATCACTCGCTATGACACCACGAATGACTCCCCAGTTGACACTGTGGAGTCCACCCACTTCCTGGGCACTATCATCACCCAAGACATCAACATGGACGACAAGAGACACATTTTTGAGGTTAAGAAGCAGCTTTTTATAAAGAGATCCTGAAAATGGACAAGGTTTGGAAGGAAATCGGAGCGCTGTTAGGAGAAAACTGTCCTCCAGCTATGTAGAAACACAGCTGACTTTGCTTCTAGTTCCTGGACAATTTTTCGTGCTCCATCCTCTAGAATTGGCTCTATGTTAGGATGCAACAGATGTAATTCTGATAAATAGATGAATCTTACATATAAAGTATATTAAGTACTTGTTTTTGTTTTGATATTCCCATAACCTGAACACATTTGCATGTATTTAAATGGAGGATGTAAGGATCTGACTAACCTGTAGTAGTAAATAAGTATGTTTTAATGTTAAAGAATTTTGTTTAATTTCACATTAGCTACAGTATATCCAGCTATAATGTGAAGTAAGTCAGTGTTATGTTAAACACTGAAATGGAGCAGCCTCCTGCAGTACCTATTACCATCTGCTGGCACTGCAGGCAACTTTAGATGTATTTTAATACAGTATTAAACACGTTACTGTGCCTGTGCAGCTTGCTCTGCAGTCGTCTGCACACAAGGTGGTGCTGTGGTTAACTTCATATACTGAGTCACTGTGGGAGGCTAGAGAGGGTAACAGAGATAGAGATGAAAACATATAGATCACAGCAACAAAAAGCAGGAAGTTGTTTGAAAGTGAAGAGTATAAAATGAGTAGAGAGTAGTCTGATCAATTACCTGCACATACATTCAGCCATGCCCTAATATGTTGGTTATGTAATAGAGAACACCTAAGAGGTCATATCCTACAAACTCCACATACGCAAAAGGTTTTGTAGGCCTCTGCTCTTTGTACGCCATTTAAAATGTCTGTTTACATCTTATGTTGCACAAAAATAAGTTTAATTTTGAGGCAGATTGCAAAAATGCATACTGTTGTTTCAGTGAACTCTGCTTTAACCATTGTGTTGATATATAAAGAAGCTGCTAATGAGACAAAGAGTCAAATAGGTTGTTTAGGAAAATTGTTCTCAAAGCCTCACACTGTTACAAGTGGTTGAGAAGAGCTATTGCTACTATGCAAGCTATATATCAGCTTAATAACTGACACGTCTGCATTCCCCTGATAAATCATTTTTTGACAGTTGTACATTTGTTATGTTGTTTACTGAATTATTTTAGCTGTTATTCTTGTGTATGTTAGATGTTGTAATGTAATACAGGCAACATAGCAGCAGAGAAAGCCAATATTCATCTTTTTTTTTTTTTTTTGCTTTGTGTCTGTGTGTCATATGCTCCTGTTGGCTTACAGTACATTGTAAAAACTTTAATATCTTAAAGTCACAAAAACTCTAAATGATAACAGTATTGTCCTTAAAGAGCTGAACACTTACATATTTGAATTGTTTCTGTAGCCAAGCTAAAAGTATGCAGAAGTAGTGAGCGACACAAAGACAATAAAATAAAAAAAAGATAACAATATTCTCACATGAGAGAAGAGTGAAGATAACAATGGTGGACAGGCTAAAAGGTGTGAGGGCCGACTCCCACACAAATGAGATCTAAATGAGAGAAATGTATCACTCTTATCAGGTGTAAATGTCAACAATCCTCCCAATTATTATTTGCCTTATGCATTTCTCAGAAGTAGATGCGTGTGAAAACAACTGCAAAAGATACTTTACACATTTCAATGTGTAAAACAATGCATGGGTCACTGTGAGGAAGAGAGGGTTATTAATCAGACAGACATATAAGGAATTTAGATCATGCAGTATTCATCAAATGGGCTAAATCATACAGGCAACTAAGAAACTCCAAGTAAAAGTGTTTTATGTTTTAGATACAGTCATGAATACCAACTATAACCTTCGCACCTATATTACATCGAATACCAATAACTGAGATATCCAATTTCCCCAATACATTTTCACAAATAGCAGCATTCAAATTCAAAACAGAAGTTCATAAATTGATAATATCTGTCCTGGGTAATTTCCACTGGGTAACAATGTAGGGAAGGTTTCAAATAATGCAGAATCATCCTTGCTCTCCCGTCTTCGTGATGTACACTGCAAACCTAAGTGACTGTACCAAGTTGTGTTTAACAATTGTCACATATGTAGGTACATTTAATTATGTTATATTATCTTAAAAACATTACCAATACCAGCTGTGACTTCCAATATATGAGCAGTTCAGATATATAATACTTAAAAAAAGAAAATCTGCTGCAGCAATATCCCACAGACCTGTTGTAGATTGTCGCCTTAGCATTTGAACTTCTATAGTTAATGTGTTATCTGCACCTTAATGACTGCCTGCAACTGCTGTCTGCCTGAATTACATTGGTGCATTCAAATACTGTAGAAGGTAATATATGGAGCTATTTTAGTGCCAGCACAAACTTAATCTGAATTTAATAGTTTTGAATTTGAATTGTACAGACTATTGTATGCAAAATATAAAACAGTATTTGTCAAATGCCTAAATTTAATTTTATGATTTGAATATGGCTTGTAATATTTAAACTGAAAGAGAGAGCAACCTAACAACTGCAATGTATCACATGAGTCCGGGGGTTAATTGATTTGTATGATAATGCTATTTTTTGGTGTGGGTGCGTCCTCAGTTGCCTGATCTGTGATAGATGACAAGATAAGCAACTGTATATAAGAGCTGATCTTTGATTTGACAGCACCTCCACACTGGAAGGCTGACTCTGAAAAGGAAGACAACTCTGGACAAGGTTTAGTACAAACAGTCTTATAGGGTTGAGCAATCTGATGATTTTAGATAGAGATTGTGATCTAAGACAATCTATTTTTTAGGCGAATTGTAGATTCATATTCTGTATTTAGTCTAATGTCCTCTTATTTCTGCTTCCAAACTTGACATAATCTTATTGACAAGAGGGTGCGTGTTATCTGAACAAACCTATAGAGTGGCCAAGTAGATGTCTATGTTGTTAATTTACTTCATGCTCCTCTTTTTGTGACGTGTTGAAAACAATGCAATTGAGTTGTGAGTACTTGTTATTTTATGATTATGTTATCTTTCAGCTTCTGTTTACAACTTTAACTCACATTTGAATCACCATTTTCAAACCTTGTGTATCTTTAATGCAATAGTGTGTTTTAATGGTGCAAATGGAGGAATTCAGAGGCTATTCAGAGTCTGGCTAAAGTCGACAGGGCATTTCAAAATTGAGAAAATTACAATTTAGGATTGTGACTGTAATGAAATTGATTGTGATGTTATTTTTTGGTCATTGACAGCGACACTGACTGCTGCCTGCAGATGTATTCCATCTCCAACATGAAGATGCTGACTGTGTGTGCACTTGTTTGTGCATTCATGGTTCTGACCGGAGCTGCTGGTGAGTATTGTATAGGAGAGTATTATGAAGAGTAAGCTTTGCCATGTGAACCACTGCCCAGCCTTTATTTGAAACCCAGCTTTTATTTGAATATATACACTAACAGCTATGTAATACTATTCCAGCTTTTCCAGGAGCAAGTGCCGGAAAAGGTGGAAAAGGTCAAACAGGTCAGTGGTCTTCTTTCAAAATGCTTCTCTCCTGCTCCAGTGTCAGTCTAGTTTCACTCTGGCATGCGTATGCCTGTCCTGGTACCACTGTACGTGTCTCCGGGGTCACTTTCACTCTTCCCATTCGTTGTCAATTTGCACACGAGCTCAAGCCTGGCTGTTTGTATCAGAATTTAATTTCTCTGTACCGACATCAGCAAGAGACTGTCTGCTCTTCTGTTTGCGATGACACGTTTAGCTGATAACCTCATAATAAACCTCATGAATTATGGATAAGCAGACTGTCGCTTCTTCTGCAACTATGAAGTTGATAACCTGCACAGAGGGTATTTCCTACTGCTGTCTGTCTGTCTGTCTGTGTCTATTTATATGCCGTGTCCCTGGCATGACACATACAGCTTTATCCTACAGCTTAAACAGGGTTGAAGATAAAAATTAAATATAAGGCAAGTTTTTCTTTTCTGTTATTGGAGCGAGTGATGAGTGATTTTAGTGCAGCTGAAATGTGAGTTGAATGCGGAGCAACATTGAGCCAACCAGACATTTTGCAAGAAAAATAAATGTTTCAAAGTACCTAAAGACCGATCACCCACTGTTCTTCTCAATTTGTCTTCAGGAGAGCATGCTGTTGTCAAGGGGTCAGTCGCTCTTGACAATTCCCGTCAGAAATCTAATAAAACCTACTACTTCTACTTTGTTCCAAAAGCGATGACTTGGGCTGACGCTGAGGTAATCAGGACACTTGCATACCTAATTGATTAACTGGCATGTTTTTTTCTCTCAATAACACCAGCTGCACTCTCTGTTTGTCTCCACTGTAGAAACACTGCCAGTCCTTTGGCGCAAACCTTGCTTCTATACATAATGTTTACGACTACCATGTTGTTCAACACCTGATATTGAGAATGACGCATGAGCAAAAACAAGCATGGGTTGGAGGCTCTGATGCACAACAGGTATATGATTTGTCATTACACACATGCTCACAGTACTCACTGTCATTTCATTTAAAAAATGTGATTCATCCAAATATTCTGTTCTGTCTTTTAGGAGGGATACTGGTTTTGGAGTGATGGTACACGTTTCGTCTACAATAACTGGTGTTCTGGAGAGCCTAATGACGCAAACGGCCAACACTGTTTACAAATTAATTTTTCAGGTAAATCTTTAAATTAAAAATCTGATAAATGAGTTGTGTTAAAAGATAAATGGTTAAGGAAAAATGGGGAATGAATTGAAACATATTTACAAGTGATCAATGTTACAATAATGCTGTAAATTATTGAAGAAATCACTTTTTTTCTACTTACAGTGAAAAAGTGCTGGGATGATGTGCAGTGTCACTATAAACTTCCATCTGTCTGTGGCAAAACAACCTGATGTTTCCCGGAGGCATGAGTTACAAACACTGGTGGATGTGTGTTTAGCTTCCATCAGTCTCACATGTAACATATAAATTCTATATCTCATTTTACATCTTTATTTCTTTACTATCGCTGAAACGCTACTGAAGGAACGAAGCGACAAGTGACATAAACAGGAGCTGGATTGTCTCTTAGGCCTTGTGTCTTTAATAAGAGCAAACTGAATGTGTTATGGAGAGAATGCTTTTAGCACAACCTTATTCTGGAGAGTGAACTCTTTTTCTTTATGTTAGAATAAAAGACTCAAGCATTGAAACAAGCTGGTCTGTGATAAATCTGTTTACTCTTTGTTGCTGATATACTGTCAATATGCAGACGACTACCTGGAGTTCATGGTGGAAGTTGGGAGACTGACGATCTGGTGACCCGTGTAATTAAAACACTGCATTATTGCTGTTATGTTTAACTGTGTATCACACTGAAATGCAGCAGTCATATCACCAACTGCTGCCATTGCAGGCAGCTTTACAATAAAAGATGCTCATACAGTATTAAACATGTTATGGTGCCTATAAAGCAGCTTGCTCTACAGTCATGTCCCAGTAGGTGGTGCTGTGGTTAGTTTCAGATGCTCAGTCATTCATTGCTTATTCAGTGACACATATGTGTCCGTGCGTGTCATTCGCTCCTGTTGGCTTACAGTACAATGTGAAAACTTGTTGACAATCTTTAATATCTTAAAGTCACAAAAACTCTGAAAGTATGCAGAAGTAGTGAGCAACAGAAAGACAATAAAATAAAATATTAAAAAGATAGTAATAATTGAAAACAAGTTCTCACACAAGAGAAGAACGAAGATAACAATGGTGGAAAGGCTAAAAGGTCTGAGCGCCAACTCACACACAAATGAGATCTAAATGAGAAAAATGTATCACTTTTGTCAGGTGTAAATGTAAACAACCCTATCAGTTATTATTTGCTTCATGCATTTCTCAGAAGTAGCCAGCTGTGAAAACAACTGCAAAAAAGAATTTACACATTTCAATGTGTAAAACAATGCATGGGTCACTGTGAGGAGACGGTTTTTAATCAGACAGACATATAATGAATTTAGATCAAGTAGTCTCTATAAAACAGGTTAACGCATACAGGCAACTAAGAAACTCCAAGTAAAAGTGTTTTATGTTTTAGATATAGTCATGAATACCAACTATAACCTTCGCGTAAATATTACAATGAATATCAATAACCTTGATATCAATGTTTTTTTATTTCTTTCATTTACTTTGTGTTATCTTCACCTTAATAACTGCCTACAGCTGCTGTCTGCCTGAATTACATTGGTGCATTCAAATACTGTAGAAGGTAATATATGGAACTATTTTAGTGCCAGCACAAAGTTAATCTGAATTTAATAGTTTTGAGTTTGAAATGTACTGACTATTGTATGCAAAATATAAAACTGTATTTGTCAGACCTAAATTAAATTTTATGGTTTGAAATGGTATTTAACTCGTATTGCTTTCAACTTGTAATATTTACACTGAAAGAATGAGCAACCTAACAACTATAATGTCACATGAGTCCAGGGTTGATAATAATGCTGTTTTTAGGTGTGGGTGTGTCCTCAGTTGCCTGATCTGATCTGTGACAAGATAAGCAACTGTATATAAGAGCTGTTAATTGATTTGACAGCACCTGCACACTGCAAGGCTGACTCTGAAAAGGAAGACAACTCTGCACCAGGTTTAGTACAAACAGTTTTATAGGGTTGGGCAATCTGATGACTTGAGATAGAGATTGTGATCTAAGACAATCTATTTTTTTAGGGGGAATTGTAGAGATTGCGGTATTTAGTCTAATGTCCTCTTACTTCTGCTTCCAAACTTGACTTAATAACTTCAATAGAGCGGCCAAGTAGATGTCTATGTTGTTAATTTACTTCATGTTCCTCTGTTTGTGACGTGTTTAAATCAATGCAATTGAGTTGTGGGTATTATTCAGCTTTGTGTTGGCTCTTGTGCCCCAAGGCAGTGTTTCTCAAATGAGGTAACTTTATGTATTTATTATTTTTTTGTTAATTAAAAAATATCAGTCGTGCATAATTCCTAAAATAATTATACAAGAACACTTTGACATGCAGCGGGGGGCACCCGCTTTACCTCACAAACCACAGCCTCCCCGCCACGGATAATGACAATGATGATTGTTGATGAAGTTCAACTTATCCAAAAGACACAATCAATATAATTGATTATAATTGGATTATCAATACAACTTAAATGCCGTTTTCAGAAATTGCTTTGCCATGCTTTCAGAGATGGATTCAGAGACATTTGAAAAGCATTCTTCTTAAGAAATCAGACACCGATGGTGCATCACTGTATTGTACAGCTAGTTTTGCTCTGGCCAGGGATCAGGGGGAACCTGGGACATTTTAAACTACATAGAGCTGAAGTATGAAATGTTTTGTCAGAAAAAGAAATAGTTCAACATAACAACCCACTATCCTTCTCAATTTGCCTTCAGGCGAGCATCATGTTGTCAAGTGGTCATCTTGTGGTAGCTGGACTGAGTACAACTGTTGCTGTTTCCATTTGTTCCAAAGGGGATGACTTGGGCTGACGCTGAGGTAATCAGGGTTTGCTTTCTTTGAACTGGGTTGCATTTAAACAACACATTATTGTTACACTAAACTAAGATGGCGAACATAATCATACCTGCTAAACATCAACACAGCATGTTAGTATTGTCACCATAAGCAAGTTAGCATTTTGACTGTTAGTATTGAGCTCAAATCCCCTTTAAAACCCCCTTTAAAAATGGCCAGGCCAATTTTTCCCTCGCCAAAATTTGGCCTAACTGTGGAGCATTATTTAGGCCCTTTCGTGACAAGCTAGCATGACATGGTAAATAACGGATGCCTTAGGCGATCTAATTTCATATGAGAAGAGTGTGACCAAGAAAGGAGAAGTTAATAAATGATTGCATCAGAGTTATTATTGTATCTTTGTGTTCTTTTTTCTGTGTTGCCAGGACCCTGTTCTTTGCAGATTAACACAGAATGACAGATAATCACAGCTTTATTTGATTAATGATAATGATGATGATGATGATGATCATGATGATAACACGTAAGCTTTTGAGAAATCATTAGTTGTTGACACAATTTTCAGAATAGGAAGTTAATGGATGATACTATAGACTACGCAATAAGATCAAATAAATACACACAAACAAAAAAATGCATAAATTGTATAATAAAGGTCATAAAGGATGCCAAAGGATCCAAACTGGTAAAACAATGCGCACTGGGATAAAGGAGAATGTGTTGTCACAGTACTGTATAAAACAATATATGGTTCATTTTACGGATAAAAGAGATTATTTTTATGTAAAAGCTTGTTTTCCTATTCCACATGACTTGTAACGGTTCTCATTAGAATCAGTTAAGCAATAACCCCACACATATAGTGTCCCATATAGTTCTCAGAAGTAGCAATTATGTGATTTCAAGAAAGGAGAAGTTAATGCATTATTGCACCAGAGTTACAGAGTGAAGAGGAAGGTTGCAATTCACACTTAATCTTCCTTTAAGTCTCTTTATAATAAACAATAGACTATTGAAAGCCCCTACAAACTTACTGAAATCAACTCTCAGTGTTAATTTGGGTATGCTGTGCAGTATACTGAAGGGGAATTACATGTTCCTCCATTAACACCTGAGCACCTGACAACATGACCAGATAGTTGAAGTGTGAAAATATGTTGGGCTGAACCCCAGATCAGGTCATACGTAGCTTATATTAGGTTTTTGTTTTTTTTTTTCAATCAAGAGGTATGAACACTCTTAGCTCTGTGTGTTTTTTTCTTAGCGACCTTTCTTGCATTAGATCAAAAGATAACACACTCTATATAAGAACTGGTCTGTTGTTCAGCACCTCCGCACAGGAAGGCCAAAACCACAGGCTGACACTGACAAAGAAGATAATTCTGCAGGAGGTTTTGCTGTGACACATCTCTTTCTTTTTCTCACTTACTTCTCTTCACAAGTATTAATAGGTACTATTAGTTTTAATATCTGTATCACGTCTACTATGAGAAGGCTGACCGTGATGGCACTTGTTTGTGCCATAATGATTCTAGCCAGAGCTGATGGTGAGTGTTAATCCTAGAGTTTTGAGGGTTTTTTTCTGTGTGTGTGATTTGTACACATCCAATAATGTAGCATGGAGACAAACCAGAAGCATGGCACTATCAGACACAAGAACAACTGTTCATCCACATTTGGTATAAAATTATTTGTAATTCAATGGTTCAAATTAACCAAGACGCATTGCCTTTCTTCTCCTTTCTCTTCAGCCGAGACTCAGCCAGTCAAGACACCAACATCTTGTCCCAGTGATTGGACTGGGATCAACGGTCGCTGTTTCCAATATGTTCAAGCAGCCCTTACTTGGGCTGAAGCAGAGGTAATCAGGACAATGTGGGTCCAGTGTACAATGCTGACACACAGTTTTCGGCGTTGTGTAACTTGGTGTTTTTGTATTTGATTGATTGATTGATTTTTGGAAATTAAATTCCATTGTTTATCTCTTTTGTAGAAAAAGTGCCTGTCCATGGGTGCAAACCTTGCTTCTGTGCACAGTGCCAATGAGTACCTTGAAATTCAGATGATAATTTCCAGGGTCACTAAAGGGTTTGGAAGAACATGGCTTGGAGGCACTGACTGCCAGAAGGTATATCATTTGTCATTGCAATCATTCAAGTAGGATTTATTTATTCATTTATTGTTTTCATTCAGTTTTAAATTCAGTCGTGTCTTTAAGGAGGGCGTTTGGTTGTGGAGTGATGGCACACCTTTCGACTATCACCACTGTGGAAAGTTTGACAACCGCTGGTGGAGGGAGCACTGCTTGCAAATGAATTTTGGAGGTAAAACACATTATGAGAGCGGTGTGAATGATGACGATAATGATCATTTTTGCAAAAACCCATAGGTGAAAAATGAAAAAAACATTACCAAAGCACCCTCTCAAATGCCCCTATAATAGATATCTGCTCAGACAAGCTTAAAACAAACAAAACATACCCAGTCCAAATCAATGAACCAACACGCTAAATTTACACAATACCATAGATATATGTGACCTATGACTATCTATCCATCATGATGTGGTGAGTTCTAAACTTGAGAAAATATTGGATCACTATACTGCTAACTACAACTAATAAAAACAAATGATGTTAATAATTATCATAGTGATGTAATGATGGCAGCCAAAGGTTTACTATTAACAGTATAAAGTGATATATTTATACAGAAAAATGACTGACTGTCTTTGGTACTTGCAGAAAACAAGTGCTGGAATGATGTGAGGTGTTCCAGGAAACTTCCAGCTGTCTGTGCCAAAAATCCTTAAAGATTCCTCGGCTGACAGAGAGGCATAAAGTACCTGTAAAAACCCCAAACTCTGGTGCATATGCGTTTGGGATTATGACACGCATTTATTTCTTTTCTGTCGCTACTATTGCTACTTGTGCAAAGGAATGATGTGACAAGGGATATAATTACGAGTTGGATTGTCTCTTAGAGGACTTGTTTTTGTAATAAGAGCAAACTGAATGTGTTATGAAAAGAATGCTTTTAAAGCTTCTTCTGGAGAGTGAACCGTTTTTCTTTATGCAAAAATAAAAGGCTCAAGCACTGAAACAGTCCGCTTTGTGACTTTTTGTGAAATCTGCTGTTATTAGGGGTATAGCACTCTTGCATATGTGTGAAGATACCGATCAGCATGTATTTTGCTGGCTAAAGGTTTACTGCTACAACATCCAAACCTCACCCAGACCTTCCCGTTTATGATATTGTGTCAGGGGCCATTTTGTTTTGCCTTACAGTTCCTGCTTTTTCAGATAAAATGAATGACCATTTTTAGTTGCTCTATATGTGCCATGTTTAGTGGCTCTTTGTGAAAATGCATGTTGCCACAGATGTCATTTTCAGTACATGACACTATTAATTACAAATTTAAAAGGTTAAAAAAAAAAGTAAATTAATTTAAAAGTATATAAATAGGTATATAGTGAAATTATGGTTCTACACACAATAGTATTACAGTAACAGGCAGGACGAATTAAAAAAAAAGAAATCACTTTATTTGACATTTATCAAATGAATTTAGTCTCATTTCATGAATTAAATTCATGTAAAAAATAGATCAAAGTAAATACAGTGAAAATAATTTGGTAAGATTTCTTGTGAGGGGCACATGAGGGAAATTTAATTTAAGGATTCCTGATATCACTGATATCAATACCGAGTGAAATATGTCATAATTTACTACTGTTCTACTCCTGATCATATATTTAAATGAAGTACCACCAAATAATTTGCCACTGTTTCAACACAAGGCAGTTTTTAGTTGTTATCACTGTGCACATTCACACAAAAGCAGCAGAGATGCAAATATTGCAGCAGTAAGAATAATGTTCATGTGCCCAGGATGTCATTTAAGGTGTTTGGTATTAATCCTATTGACGCTAGTATTGATACTCAAAACAATCTACCGAACTTCGTATTAGTATTCGTATTCTTTTGGGATCAAGCAGGTGAACGATAAAAAATCCTCCAAAAATCTTTTTTAATCAAACCCACAAGGTTTACAATCATGTGAACATTTATATCCCAGAGAAACAATCTTCTTCTCCTTTATACTGCTGTGAATAAATAGGCTTGAGAATGCATTCACCATTTAACCACATTCCCTTTTTCTGGGTTGAGTAAACAATGCTGTGTCAATTTCAGTGCAATTTGTAGATTTCAGTATTAATCCTTCACAGTCATCAGTGGAACAAACCATTCCTGTACTTACTGTAACAAAATGTTGTTAGCCAATATGGCCAATATGTAATCAAGTGTGCATCTTTGTGGATGACTGATTTCTTTACATTGCTTCCATGAGGGCCTTCTTTTTCTTCCTCATAGGCTTCTTCGGGATCTCAGTTGTGTTGCTGCTTTTGTTGCTGGCACTGCTGGCTCTTTTCATCTGGTACATTACCTTAGCTGCTTCATCAGAGAGAGTCTGCAGGGTGAAAGAGATGATAAATCAGTGCGTAAGGGACATAAACTGTCCCATCTGTGAGCCTCGATTAAAAGGAATGTAGTTTAACGGTTTTTAAAGTCTCTGGAAACTTGAATCTCTGGAAAGTTTTTATGGAACACATAAAAATCATATATTTACGTGTATTGGAGAAAACTCATTCATGTCAAACTGATTGCATCACCCAAAGCGAAAATGGATTATTTGGAGTTCATGTCACCTAGATTTTGCTGCAGTTGCATTAGATTCAAAAGTTAGGGCAGTTTATGTTAGAGTTAGATGAGAAGATTGATTCCACTCTCATATCTTTTCAATCAACATAAATGATGTAAAGATCAATATAAAGCTACAGCAAGCAGTCGGTTAGCTTAGCTAAGCATACAGGCTAGAAACAGGGAAATAGCTAACCTGACTTTTATCATAATGATTTTATTTTGGTTTAGTATGAATTAAACACACAATATATGTTAATTAATAATGTTTAGAGGTGTTGGTAGGCAAATTTTGTAACACTCCCAAGCCAAGCAAGCTGTTTCCCACTGTTTCCAATCTTTATGTTAGCCTATGTTAACTGACTTCTGGCTGTATTTTAATATTTCATATTTATCATAGAGTTTAGAGTTGTATCAAGCTTTTCAATTTAACTCTTGGAAAAGAAGCGTATTAATGTAACTATCACTTTATGGGGCCAAATAAATTCGATCGGTGGCAGTTTAGAGGTACTAAAAACACGGCACAATCTGTTTTTGAGGATCGATCATGGAGTCAGAACATAAAGTGCTTAATGAATGGCCACAAGGTGCTACTGTTTTCAGAACTGCACCAAAAGCTACTTCTACTTGGCCCATTGCCTCTTTATTGCCCAAAATTAGCTGACATCTGTTTTTATGATGTCCTGCTTGATAATAAAAAAAACAGAAACAGGAGGAAAAGAGAAACAAGAATGCAAACATAGCCACCTGATAAAACTGCAGATGACACAAAATTAAACCTTTTAAACCCTCTTTGGCTTAAGTAATAAGGATCTTCAAATTACTGTATATTAACTTCATTGATAAATTAAATGTATGATTACCTGGGATTCTGGTGTGATGTCGTCACAGATTGTTGTCATGGTGTCCATCCAGTTGCCATAAACACTCTCTTCCTTTTGGATTGGCCTCTGCTTACTATGGGGCAGACAGAGGAAGAGTATTACCCAGAACAACACTCAGAGACACACTAACCTTAACCATCAAACCTGCATGCCTAGCCTTAACCTTTATCCTAACTTTAACCTAAACCAAATCCTAATCTTAACACTAAAAATAAGTCCAAAATAAACAGATCAAAGCCCACAATGTGACTACGCTACCAGAAAACACACGTGCTTGCACCCAAACAGAGACACTGAGCTATAGTCCCCATAATGTGATGTAAATCAACCATTGTGTATAAAGCAATGCATATTACTTGTCTCATATTGTTTGTTATTATATTTATCATATGGTTATAGTCTCTGCATTTAAAATTATAACAATTTATAAAGAATGTCTAGAAAGCTGTGAAGTTTGGAAATAGTGAACTTGTCATGACAGTAACAACTGGTTTAACACAAAAATTGGAAATAATATTTCCTATTCTTTATATTAAATCAAGAGTGCATCAACATAGCAACATATTATCAATGGCTTGATATCCTGCCATTCCATCCTTGTTTGGTTATTTCAATATATTGTCATCGGCAACCTTCCTGGTTTATAGGTTTATAGGTAAGACAGTCATACCTGATTTGGTCAAGCAGTTCTTGCTGTGCTCTCAGTTGCCTCTGTGCTTCCTGCACTCGACCCTCCATGGTTAAACTGGCACAGAGTTGAGCACAGTGAACGCCAAGCACCGCCATGTTGAGGCTACCGGCGGAAATCCGACTTTCAGACAGAGGTGAGAAAAAGATATAAATGATCTCTGTCTAAGACAAACACAGCAGATCATATTCTTGACACTCGAGTTTCAGCAATGATATTAAAGTGATTTTTAATACATTACAGTTACTTTATGAAGACTCTAACACAGATTTTGGTGTCAATTATGATGGTTTTTGATACTCTTACCAATACAATCGAGTGAATACCACAAACGTTCTCAACCCTACACTGTTTACCTGCTGGTAGTAACTGGTCGCTGTTCGGTAATGACACGAGTTACTTTTTCTTGGTCTCTGGTCTTGAAGGTCAGCTGGAGTTGGAATGGAAGCGTCACCTTCTGCAGAAAAACTGTCACACACACCGACACACATCTTTGAAAAAGCACCTTGTGCCAAATTTAATTTGCTGTGTTATCATTACTAATTTGTTAATAATATGTTAAACTCGTTCACTTTCATTTTATGTGCTCACATTGGCCAGCAGAACACACTACTGGGTGTGAGTACCCACAATGTTAGTGGGCTGCCAGGTCACGGTCCCCACAATGAGGTATAAACAGGCTAAAAGAATACGACAAAGTTGATTTAGTTTGGACAATAACGCTGGTCTTACCATCCATATACTGTGGTTTTACAGCAAACTGGAAGGTGATCTCCAGATCCTTGGTCACATTCCCTATCTCTCTCACAAGTTTGTGATTGTTTTCATCCTCGTAGGGGAAATACCTAAAAATAAAGTCAGAGAAGAGGATTGGGAACAGAAAAAACGTAAATGAGTATTGTATCATATTTATATTGAATATACCACCATGTTACAGTATATACATTAAACTTATAGTGAGCAGGGACATGTTGGTGTCTGTGGTCTCCTCCTTGGTAGGTTTCTACACACAACACAACCTGAAAAGTTCCTGTTCCTGTATTTTTAGTGTCAGTCACCACTTACACTCCATCAGGAGCGAGCAGGGTTGCCTTGACTCCTGTTGCAAGGACATTATCCATGGAGGCTGACTGGATCTCTGTTGCAACGGTACCGATGCTCACCATGTTCACCTGAGCAGCAGACGGAACAGGAGTTTATGAAAGTGTGAGTTTTATAAGTCATGTGTATTTCTTCATATCATTTTACACACATACTTTGATTATTTAAAAACTATACCAAACACGCAATTTGTTTTGCTTCATCACACCATGCTATGACAAAACACACATTTCAGTACTTCTCTCCACATGCCCTGCATGTTTTTGAACAATAATTTTAGAAATTATAATTTGGTCCTACTCACAAATGCATGTTTAGGAGAAGGGAATGTAACATTGAACCACAATACAGGTAATAACACTGTTGGGTATGATAGATTATCAATCTCAAACAAGTTCCAAGCCTCTGCAAGTTAATATTCATAACTTATTGAACTAAAACCAGCTGCTGCATGAATGGAAATCCATCCAAACCAGACTTAAGGGTCTACAGTCATGCTAGCGGCTCTGCAAGGCTACACTTAAGGTGCCAGTATACATCAGAGGTGCTCGTTGGATGGTCAAAAAGCTCCACACCTTTCCTTTCCAAAGGGCTGTTTCAGACAATTTCTGTAACTTCTTGCCATTTGTGTGGAAGTATAAAAGCAATGAGGGTTAGAACTTGTCCCTCTAGCTCTTTTTTTATTCTTGACACAACTATTTCTGTCACTTTTTATGTAAACAACCAAT